CCTATAATTTATTTCGATCTTTAGCGACTTTTGCTTATGGTCATATTTATGCAATTACGTTGCTAGTTGGGATAACAAGTATTACAACGATAAAAGCAGCGCTACCAGTAATTTTAATTAACTCCCGTTCAAATTTTAAACAGCGAAAGTAGAATCAATTTTGTCCGCGTAATCTCATTTCAACGTGTACGTGATGGAATGTTATGCTATATTTATAGTCGCGTTATGCTATTCCACATGACGGACGATGAATTTACTTGTGAGGTACTACTCGTTACGCGCGTTTTCCAGTTTTTAACAAATTTTTAGGAGATCTTCGGGGAAAAGATAAACTTTGATGATAAATACCTATATCTGGCGCGAGACGCTGCTGCGTCTCTGGATCGCGATATTCCCAGAATTTATTACTAATCGAGACGCTACAACGATTTTTTTTTACCCCAACATTCATAAACATTTAAAATATTCTTTTTATTACATAATTATTATAATTTATTACAATAATTTATTATGATGTTTAAACTCAAATTTTCCATTGCACAATTTTTTATCCAATCAAAATCATTATGTTATGTTATAACTAAATTTATACATATAGGTTTATTATTGCATATACACATGGTTTATTCCATATATACGTATCGAAAAGGTGCATATTTTTACAAAAAGTAAATATATGAAGATACATTTTCCGTGTTTCTTCAACTATTTTGTGCATGCGCGGGCTCGAACATGTCTAAACTTTTTACGTTCAAAATATTGAACAGAAAATAAATCGTGCAGTATTGCGGCATTAATTCGCTCACTTTCTGCGACGTAATAATTCTGGAAAGGATATCATCGTAATCTAGAAGGTGCTGGTAAGAGAACCTCTTACCGCATTCCTCGCAGCGATAGTAGATTAATGTTGCAGCAAAGCGGTGCAACTTCTCAGGATCTACGCGCGATCGAATGTATCTCAAGGCGCGAGCGGGGCGAGCTGCATGGAAGAGATCATTTGAGGGCACGATCTACGCGCATATCGAATACCTGGGAACAACCGCGGCGCGGCGTCGGCTTCCTCCCGACGACGCTGGAAGGAAGGAGGGGTCCCACCTCGCTTGGCGCGTTGCACTCCGCTTTAAGCCGTTGCACGCCGCAAAGAAGGAGCGAGCGCGTGTGGCAATTCGATTGCAAAATCGGCCGGGAGGTCGTAACAATCCTCCCGTCCGCTCCTCGACAGATCGACGAGGGGCAATTTGGCAGCCGCGAAAAAAATCGCGCCTTAATTTACCCGGAGGAAAATTGGACGCCGACAGTGCGGCGGATTTGGCCACATCGCTTTAGTCCCGGCCACACAAATTAATCCTATACAGATCTGTATCCTGTTGTGACTCGTTGTTAGTTTTAAAAATTTGCAATTATTCAATGTTGCAAAAATAATAACATTTTAATAAATGATATCTCATAAAATAGATTTTCACTTCACTTTAGAAACGTTCGATTCAGTTTTAGTTATGATAGCCTTGAAAAAAATCGATTCGAAATTTATTGATTATCATCGCTTATCATCTTACATCTTTTTTCAATGGTGAAATATTTTTCTCTGGAGAAAGATTGATGAATCCGTTCGATTTTATTCCTAGAAGATTCTGGTGACTCGTGAACACCTTTTTGGTAATTAAACCGGTTCGAAAATGAAAGAACGCACCTTATCTCTCTCTTTCGGTTTGTGGACCGTGCGTCATCGCGCAGCTTCCGAAGTGAAAGTAAACTTGCACTTCACTCGGAACCGAGAAGCGTCGAGACGCGAGCGACTTTAATGCCTGTGAAGACCGACCTTCGCAGTTGTTCGCGATGACAATTCGACCTTCGTCCAATCCAATGGCTATATTTGCGTGTCCACGAGATGCGGGAGGAATGCGTGAAAGAAACTGGAATACCGGAATGAGAAGTTTCCTCGACTTTTAGATGAGAGAAAAACGAAGAGTCTTGGAGACAGAGGCTGGAAATAAGAGACATTCGGAAGGTCGGTCAGCGGTCGACCTTTCGCGAAGTCGATCGTAGCTCGGGGCAAAATCGATATTAAAAGCGATTTTATTATCTGCTATTATAAACCTCAACTAAATGATAATTACTATATGTATATATATATACCTTTGAATATTTATATATACTCCAGCTAATATTTAATATGTAAAATATTGATTTTATCTTAATTATCTATAAAAATCTTATTTAAATCTTATTAAAATAATTTTATATACTTTAATTAAGCTTAAAGGTTAAACGAGTTAATATGGAGCTAATAAAATTTAAGTCTCAAACTTTTGAGACTCAAATTACTTATCAGGAAATTTTATTTAAAAAAGGAGAAAAGATTGATATAATTTAAATCGATATAGTTAAAAATTTTCAATTTTTTTCAAGTATACATATTATACGTATGTACATTACGCACTATACATCGATATAATAAAAAATTGTCAACTCTTTTAAGATTACATACTACACGTATTATACCTACATGACATATATATCTATTATAC